GCTCTTGTGTGGACTTGTACCACTCTGGTACATGGAGTAGAGTAAGATCCAAGCGAACGCGGTCCTTCCACCTGAGACGTGGTCCATGTGCTGGCCTGGTTTGCAGCAGCCAACCAAACAGAAGCTGCTTCGGAAGGTGGTCATCCGGCATGCGGGCAACATGGCCAAGCCACTGCATTCGCCGGCGACGCAGGATGTTAGAAAGCAGATCACTATTACCCCAGCGCACACGCAGCTCGCTGTTGGTGATGTGGTCCGTTTCCTTGTCCATGTGCGATATGCCAAGGATAGCACGGACGCACTGGTGGTGGAAACGGTCCAGACGATCTTCATCGCGACGCAGCACAGACCAGGATTCAGAGCCATAGAGCAGGACGGACAACACGCAGGCATCATAGATCACCCGCTTTGTTCGGATGGAGATAGCGGGGTTTTCAAATACTGACCGGAGTGCACCGAAAGCCCGAGAAGCCCGCACAAGTCGCCGGTCAACTTCCGGACCGATCCTGCCCTCTGGAGTCATCAAGCACCCAAGGTAGATGAAGTACGGTACGCACTCCACCGACTGACCATCGATGACAATGGGACGGCGGTCATCATCGGGAATGCCGAAGCCGCAACACATGAACTTGGTCTTGGCAAAGTTTACTTTGAGACCAAATGCTGATGCCACAGAATGGAAAACTCAAGTGCCGACTCAGCCACTTCACGAGAGGGCACCATAAGAGCAGCATCATCAGCAAATTCCACATCTAAAGCTGCAGAACGCTGGTGACACGTGCGGCTGTTGTCGAACAAGGTGCCGTTGATGTTGAGCCTGAAGTCAATGCCCACCGGATTTACAATGTGGGTTCCGGCGAGGCCGCGCCTGCATCGACCAGATTTTCTCTGTCCTCCAGCTGACAGAGAAACTGTACGAACACCGCACCAACAGCTTTGCAATATTTGTTGATTTAAAGAAGGCGTATGACTCTGTTCCTCGTGAGGCTTTGTGGGCTGCGTTGCTCGCTCTGGGTGTACCTGAGAGCCTGGTTCGTCTCATCGCGTCATTCCACGACGCCCAGATTTACCCGTGTCCTTGTTGGCGACACATACTGAGCAGATAGCGGTGAACAATGGTCTGCGACAGGGATGTACAATCTCTCCCGTCCTCTTCAATCTCTACTTTACCCTTGTATTCGAGAAGTGGCGCAGTGAGGTGCAGCGTCGACATCCGCACATACACACACACACACACACACGCACGCGCGCGTGCACACACACATACACACACGCACTCATACACACACACTCACACACTCACACACTCACACACACTCACTCACACACACACACACACACACACACACACACACACACACATACACACATACACATACACACTTACACACTTACACATACACCTACACACACACACATACACATACACATACACACACACACACACACACACACACACACACACACACACACACACACACACTATACTACTACTACTACTACTACTACTACTGTAGCTTGGTTGCCACAAGGGCCACACCACTTCGAAAGTAGCCAGAGTCATTGTCAGAAGCAGAAACGGAGATGACGACTCAGGTCACTCTGTCGACGGAACTGACGGTTGCAGCGAGAACAGCGAACACCATACGATGCTCTATCAGACTTGGTTGCTCGATGGCCACGGTCGCACTTGTGACGTCTGAAACCAGGCACTGACTTGAATTGCCGATTGCATGTCACACACAAGAGAGAAGCTGGGACGTTGAGCGAAATAGGTGATGCCGGCGCGGACGCTTCCGGTGGTTCCAGGGGCAAACAATGATGTACACGCAAGCCACCACGAGAGTGAAACCACCTCCTGCATGTACCACACTGCACAGCACCACGCTGCTCCTGGATGGGGAGACTTCGCTCTGCGCTACACTTGTGTCTTGCTTTGTCACCTGGCCGACGAAACGAACACACACACACACACACACACACACACACACACAGTCACACACACTCACACACACACACACACTCACACACACACACACATGCACACACACACACACACACACACCCCCTCACACACACACACACACACACACACACGCACACATGCACACACACACGCACGCACACACACTCACACACTCACACACACACACACACACACTCACACACACATGCACACACACGCACACACACACACACACACACACACTCACACTCACACACACACACTCACACACACACACCTTCCTTCCTTCTTCTCCACTGCCATGACTGGCTAAGTGGCCCCATACGGGGCAGCTCTTGGATTAGCGCTGTCTCCGGGAAGCGGCACCAGGACCCGACGACTGACGCGACGGCGCATTCCCACGGGTTATAATTGCTATTGAACGCCGCGATGTCAAAACTAAGCAATCTCCGACAGTATATTGATGAGAGCCAAACCAAAGCGTCTCCTGGAGGCCAACGATGTCCATTCCATACTTTTTGAGCTGACGACACACAAGGTCAATTTTTCTCTCCTCGCGAATATTCGAACAAACTTTCCTTGATTTTTTTGCTTTGGACGCCGTATTCAAATTTCCGTCAGTGTCGACAAGAGTCCTGACGTTCCCCGTTCCCAGAGACAGAACAACCTTTCGAGCCGCTGGTGCACGCGAGTGAAAAGACTCTGGGCGAGGGTTTGCAAGACCTCTACACCCAGGCGAAAGAGGGTCAGCGCGAGTGGTCACATCCGAAGTGGCCATGTCGTCAACGCTGAATTTTTCCTCCTCCGCGGCAGCAAGATGAAGACTGCCTTGTCTAACACCGCGTCACTAAGTGTTTTCTACTCACCAGGGCTGGCCCTGGCAGAAGCCAGGAGCCAGCCCGTGGCCCCAAACTCACTACGAAGAAAGAAGAGTTCGGACACACACACACACACTCACACACACACACATGTACACACACTCACACACACACACACACACACACACACACGCACACACACACGCACACACACACACACACACACACACACACACACACACACACTCCTGGGCAAATCGTTTTATGCAAATCCACATTAGCAACTAGAACCATCGAAAGAAGTCAACAGCAAATGAAGGCATGTATACAAGAAATACCTGCTTTCCTACGAAGAAACGATGTAAAAAAAATCACAAGCAATAATCGAGACAATGATAAGTGTATTTTCGAACATGAGACCTCACAATAAGTATTGTGCAGAAGAGGGGACATTCGTGACGAAATTCAACTACAAAAACAGAAAGTAAAAGAAGAAAAGACTTGAAGGCGAATCGTTATTATTCCAATCCAAATCAGCAACAGCAACCAACAAAAAGAAAGGATAAAGCAACAGCAAAAAAAAAGGAAGGCAAATATGCAAGAAACACCCGATATCCTTTCAAGAAGACGAAAAAGAAAAAAAAGAGTGAATGAAGTCTCACACACTGAAAAGCGTAAAATAGAAACGGCTAAAAAATGATAAAGAAAACGATGAAATCAACGCCACTGAGACATGGAAAAAGCAAGGTGCGCTTGTTTCCACAGCAGATCCGAGCAAACCATTCAACAAACAACAAAACAAGAACAACAACAAGTTTGGATTATGTGTTGAATAGTGTAGTGCAGTTATGAATAAAGTCAGTCCATGTGAAAATAACAGAAGATGGTCACAGTCAAGTCAAGAGATGGGCACGGGCCCCGCACTCAATGATGAAACTGCATTGTAGGGATGTGGCCAGCATCATGCGTTCTGGTTACGGGGCACTTAGAACGCAGGTAATTCGCCACGGCACAAGGCACAAGCTGATCCTGGAGCATAATTGCGACGCGCCCAGGCCTGAGGGAGTATGGCAGCTCACTGTTACAGTGGTAAATTCTTGCAGCCAAAGTGCACAGGAAAATGGTGGCTTTCGTGCTGCACATGCTGTTCGTGGCGAATAGTGAATACTAAGGGCTTTAACAATTCGCGATCAACACGATTGATACGTTTGGCATATTGACGTTTCTTCTGCCACACGTGATCAGCTTTAATATTACTTGTGATCGCGACAGCAAATATGGCCTTGGGTGGATCACTCGAACATCAAAAAAGCCATGTTGGCGTAACGATCAGAATTTGAAGTTCTCCTAAAACTTTAAGAGTCAATTACTTTCTTTCAACTCTAATGATACTCTAGCATATAACGTATCCCCGTACGTTAGTGTGTCCCCATCCGTTAGCATATCCCCTTCCATAGCGTACGGAGTCTGCCTGTGTATAAAAGCTGCTGCTCACGATTCTTTTGATGCCAGTTATAGTTAGTATTTTTATTATTAGTTACATTTCAATTAGAGTTAGAGTTACCTTTATTTCAGTTCAGTTTTAATACACAACAGTGTGTTCACTGGGACCCTTGTATTGTTGCCTCCGAGAGACTGGGGCCCGCTACAATACGTTCCATAAACTGTCCATATTGATCTCATGGGACGGGGCTGGATTAGAGAAAAAGACAAAAGTGCCATAAGAATGCAGGCACGTGTTGTGCGATACCCTTGGAGTGAAAAACTTGGTTTTTCTAGGTTCAGAATGGTTCCATAGCTCAGACAGAGCATTGGTCATGACTAGCAAAATTCCAGGTTCATTGGTCATAACTAGCAAGGTTCCAGGTTCATTGGTCATGACTAGCAAGGTTCCAGGTTCATTGGTCATGACTAGCAAGGTTCCAGGTTCATTGGTCATGACTAGCAAGGTTCCAGGTTCATTGGTCATGACTAGCAAGGTTCCAGGTTCGAGTGCTGGTGGGGTTGGCAGTCTTAAATTTGTGTCATTGTTTCCTGTAAATCTTTGTGGGGGTGGGTGACTGGTCCTCAAGGGCACGATATATAAGCAGAACTAATGTTTCGAGTATTTCAATGCTGAATAGAGTGAGTCAGTTGAAACACCTTACTTTTCCTTAATGATGATACTGAGTGAAGTCCATGGCTAAGTTTCACGTGTTTTGTTCTGTTACCTGCAGCACCCTGTGGCCATCCCGGCCACCGTCAAGTTCGCTGATAAGTTGATAGGTTTCGTCAATAGCAAAATGACACACAGGACAGACTATCGCTCCGAATCAGACAAAATTGAATACATTAACGAATCCATGTCACACGTCGCATTTTACTCGTAATCTACTGATCCCAACAGCTAGTACATGTCTATGCATGTCATGGAGAACGGTTGGACACGGTAATGGGTCATACACCATTCTCCTTTCCTTTTCGTCCACAATCTGTGTACACCAAATTGGGACAGTGAAGATGAATGTACATATTTATAGAAGTGTGTTGTACTTGTGCTGTGTGAACGCTGGCAATATTGTTAGTACATCTTCTCAGGTGTGCCGCATGCAAGAGGTATAAGTCGCGAGGCCACCTGGTCCCATCACCAATATACCAATGGCGCATAACTCTACCTCGACTACGGACAAGCAAACAGTTTAGTGCTGCGGTGCATCTGCCCTGTACTCGAGCATGCCCTGAGTAAGGTGATGGATATTTCTGAAAACCGATCTGCAGAACATTCAGGATAGGCGGCGGTGTTAAGCTTTGCCTTCACAAGCGCATTTTATGAATAGTATCACATATCTTTGCTTCCCCCCCCCCCCCAATCAACCATTCTTACTATTTCATTCCTTTGCTTTCCAGTATCATGCATTCCACTTTCCCACGCTGCACAAGGCACATGCGTATCCTGATAATTTTCTTTTCCACATTCCTTGAGTTGATGAGTTGATGTCACCCTTCTCTTTGTACCTCCACTTCATATTGACTACAGAATTTTGGTCTATGTGTACCAAGAGCACATTGAGGAGCATGCAATATCAATAAATATTTATGAGGCAGACACAATCTGCGCACAGAACCCTTTCTTCCTTTGTGGGCTCATCGGTGCAGCACAGAGAAAATGAAGCTGAAGCTGATAGCGATGAAAAGTATATTTCCCAGCGCAAGATTTAAATCACGCCCGAAGGTACCTTGTCAGAGTGTTCAAACTGAAGAGTCTGCGAGCTCTGCATAACTCAAACAGCAAAGGCACTACCCACATGAGAGTGCTCAATTACTACTAGAGCAGGAGCGAAATACTCAACCTGCGGATTGAGTATTTTTGAAGCATACGCATCTATTATAAGGGAGGTAATTGTAATTGTAGTTGTGTTCATGCTTCATAAATGTGTTAGTTTGCCCGTGCAAGAGGCTCAAGGAGTTCATTTCTAGAAATAAAAGGAATATTAGGGAGGTTTCGCTCTACGGTATTACGTATGAAAATAGCGTAGGAACTGCAAGTAATTTTCATACGTAAACATCAGCGCTGTTGGGTTCGCTCTACGTGATTTCTCCACGACTGCTTAACATGCCTTGTTGCTTTGGAGACACGTTGGCTGCATGCGCCCACCGCATGCACCACGAACCGAAACCGCGTTTCCATTTTATTTCGTACGTGGTGTACGATGCTTGTACCTTGTGTTTCACGCGGCTTGAACGTTACCATGGATAAATCCTGAAAAGGAGAAAAAATATTTCAAAAGGTCCGGCGGAGGACATAAGGAAAGAGCCTTACTACGGAAATCCGGAGAGAGATTTACGTATGAAAGTTGCCCTCGCTCCCCGGCACGCACAACTTACGGATTTTCATACGTAATGACACAGTGCAAAACCTCCCTGATCAGTAATGACTGAGAAGGAGGTCTACTATTGGGAACCTTTTGACTCTCTTGAAGTGTCCGGAACGATCGACCACACGGCACAAACACAGCTCTTGCGTTTTCACAGTATACTTGACTTCGATCGAATAATAGCTAAGACCAAGAGCCTATAACCCCCTGAGTAGGGGTGCGCGGATTATTCCCGGAACAATTTGGGAACACTATCGTCGAGAAAATTTTGGGAATTTTAGGGGAATTCTATCGATCTTTTGCCAGATCCATTGACCTTCAGAAGAGTTTTGGGGGAATTCTGTCAATTTTGACCTGCCAGAGAACAAGCACGCATCCATGGACGCACGTACATGTACATGCAGCAATACCCGGACACGACAAAGTAGCTGTGTACAGTCAGATGTAGATCTATAGTCTGTTTCAAAAAGATTTACAATCAGGTTTGGGTCTTAAAAAGTATGAAGATAAGGGAAATTTGGACAACAAAGTACATAGAATGGCTTGTTAGGACACGGCAAATTGTTCTGTGAAGGTTTCGGAACAATTGGACCAACCGTTAAGGAGTTAGAATTTCGGCCAGGTTTCCGGCCTTTTCCCATGGTTTACAATTTGCCCAGGAAGCCAGTATCGATTTTTTATCAAAACCCACGATTTATCCCTTCCTTTTTGGCCTTGTGGTTATGAATGCTGTCTGCTGACCATGAAGTTGTGAGTTCAAATCCCAACCTATCCTCAAGTCAAACTTTTTTTTCATTGTTTTGGTGATCAAGCTGGTACAAGACAAAGAAGATGGCTGCACCAAACGACTTGTTGTTGGAGCTCGCGCTTCCTGCCGAACTGACTGACACTTGACTGGCTCACGCCATGTGAACACACCCACAACACTGCAATGGTGTGAGTGAATTATAATGGAAGTCATCGCGCTGTAGCTTTTTGAGATTTATTTTAGTATTTCAAGATCGCCAATTTATTTGAATTTAGCAGTCAACGCCGTCTTCTATCAGCGTTCACAAGCGTCTGCTTTTCTCAAAATGTCGTCGAAGTCACACGGATAGCTTTGCCAAGTCATGGTCAGTGGGAATATGTCCGTGTCGATGTCGTCACACGGTGAGTAAATTGCATCGCAGCTCAAAGAAACTATTTTGGTCACAAAACGAATTGGGACCCATGCAGCTCGTCAACATTTACAACACTTTCGTTTCGACATGTCCTCCGACTACATTATCGATACGAGGAAGAACTCGTTTGTTGTAAACCAGACGTACATGACAGTATCAACGTGAGTGAGTTGTCATTTTTCCTGCTTTCGCGCGGAATATTTCTTCGAGTTCACGGTGAGTTTTTCCAGGCAGCGCTCGAGTGCTCATACGGTAAGACGCCAAACTCTGCGGGCGATCGCCAGGATTGTAAATCTTTTTGAAACGGACTGTAGTACATGTAGTGTAGATCCTGCATGCAGTGATCACGTGCCTGACCGTCCATTTTGCATACTAAAGAGCATGCGCAAGGCACGGTTCGTGCTGGGGTTCTTTTTTTGGGGGGAATTCTGGAGAATTTTTTCGACGTTTTGGGAGAATACTTTCGAAGTTCCGGGGGAAATGCCCGAAAGCATAATATCGGTTGCGTGCGAGCATAATCCGCGCACCCCTACCCCTGAGTGTGCAACGCGCGATACGCCACATAAAATTAATGTCTGTCACGACTCGTTTTCAACATTACGTCATTTTCATGCAGTTGCGCGTGCATGCAGGCCGCGACATTCGCTACCTGAAAATGACGTAATGTTGAAAACGAGTCGTGACAGACATTATTGTATGTGGCGTTGCACACTCTCGGTTATGGACTCTTGCTAGGACTTACATCGCAGCTACAAATTCCCACACTGACTAGCTGATCCCAAGTTGTTCGTGCCGTTCCAAAGGTCAACCTTCCACTGAGCCATGCTAACAGTCATAAGTCTGCGTACGGATTCGTGTATGTCAAGCAGCTCCAAACAGCGTCCAATCCAATTTTGAGGAACATCATAAGCCTTTGTTCTACTCGACCCGCGCCATTGCTTAATTGGATCTGCGACACTTACTGTCCGCCATAGCGGCCAGATCAATGGCGAGTTGATCTTCAGTGCCGAAAGTTCCGTGCTTTCAACCTATCTGCTCATCTGGCAGCAGAGATGACGCCTCGAGATGGGCAATGATCGTATTGCTCAGAATGCCGGAGAATAATGCCCTGGCCGTGACCGTCAATTTTTCCTTCAGACTTTTTCCGTTTGCGTCTTTTCCTCAAATCAGTGAATATTTTATGACTTGGTGCTCCCCGCCTACTAGCTTGTAAGTCAAGTGGATGGGTTCCAGCGGGGGCTGCTTCCCACCCGCCAGCTGTGTGGATTCAAAGGAAGTGTGAGGTACGAAGTCTGAAGAAAAATGTTGAACAGTCTCTGCTGGGATGACGACTACACCATAGCTCAATGGTCAGAGCATCGCTGGCTACAAGCGAGGGTTCCTAACCTCCTTTATTGCTGAACCCGCAAATAATTGTGATACAGATTGTAAACCATTCGAGGTAGAAGAGAAAGCCATTAAAAAGGAAAGAAAAAAGGTTATTGTACCATGCCAGACGGCTATTATTAATTAAGTCATGTACCAATTGTGGTACATGATGTAGTAGTCACGCACCTACAAAATACAGGATAATATTTAAATTGCCCAGCATGCCTACAAATCCGCAGAGCATGCAAATATTAAATAGGCCAACATTATACATTTGCGTCCTGGTGGTGGCGTGGTGGTAGTAATCCTTTTAGTATTCAGACTTTTACTGACTTTTCTATATATTTCTTCAGAATTCCCAAACTCCATTGCAGCGTATTCCTTGCACTTCAAAACACTGCCATTCTGGCAACAGGCTCTCAGCTGCACCAAATAAATAACTTTGCCAATATTTCGCCCATTGGGCATCATCAGGGCATTGAGGAAGGGGAGGCCAAATTACGAAATATAAAGACGAATAATGCAGGCAGATGAATGTTCTAGAACTAACACATCGTGGTGACACAATTGGCAAGGCCAGCAAACTAAACAATCATCACTTGTAAGGTGACCTAAACAAAACGAAAGATGAGAAAACTCACACATACACACAGACACAATTTGGCAAGAAAACTAACACAAACACTAACACTACCGTTTACAATCATCACCTGTAAGGTGACCTAAACAGAAGAAAGAAGACTAGTAAGACTATCACAGCACGTACAAGGACACTTTCAAGTGTGGGAATGCTAAAGGCGATCTATGTATATGACAGCGGTGTATGTGCAAAGTATGTGTATGTGCTGTGTCAGGTGGTAAAGTGGTAGTTCGAGGAGATGGGTGTCGATTCCAGTGACGATCTGGTGACATCCAATCAGTCAATTAGGCGCCAGCCGTCATCGCAATTGACTGCTGGTTTGCGCTTCCTTATCTCGATAGCTTCAAGCAGTTTCCTTGATGGTAGCGAAGCCTCCCTGCCGAGAATCTTTGCCTGGTGGAAGGACAGAAAGTTGGAAGACTTTAAAGATTCTCGATGCTGGGTACGATAGTGGAAGCCCCAGGTAGCCTTCGCCACCATCGCCCTTGCCTCTCGGTAGTGCTCAGCGAATCGGTCCCTCACCGGCCGCTCGGTCTCACCAACGTACAATTCCACACACAACGTGCAAGACATACAATAGACAACACCTTTGACTAAACACTGACTATCCACCATACTCGCATTACATGCACGAAACTCCATTGGTCGACCTCTCCCTCTCTTCACCTCCGATCGCTGCTTCTCACGGGGACACACACGTACAGCACTCGACGATCGGACCAACATATCCTTCAAAGAAGGACCAGACACAAAGACAACACGAACATGCGGACTGAACTTTCGAACACGTCGTGAGACACGAGCGGCAAGGGAGTCGTTGATGAAGGGCAGTTTGATGACTGACTTGAATTGGTTGTGTCTGCGCTTGCTGTCACGCTGCTGTTGTTGAGACGGGTGTGTATCTTGTCTCTTCCCCTTGGCTGCTCGTCGGGCTGCGTTGATGATGCCCAATGGGCGAAATATTGGCAAAGTTATTTATTTGGTG